TCTCTCTCTCTCTCTCTCTCTCTCTCTCTCTCTCTCTCTCTCTCTCTCTCTCTCTCTCTCTCTCTCTCTCTCATATTACGAATCTTAATTTTATGACTATATTTTGAATAATTATTTTTTATGGCGGGGAAAAGGAATACAACCATATTTTACAACATATATTATATATGTTTATTTCTAAATAATTTGAATACATTTTGATTTAAGTATAAAACTTTTTTATTTACATTTTTTTTAGAAGGATATACAATGCTATATATATAAATATTTAAATTGTTTATTATGTTTGATTACAATAACAAGATTTCCGTATAACAATAATTACAGTAAAAGAAATAGGGCTCTGTGAATGGCGCGGTAAACAGTGCGCAGATTGATTGAAATTATTTATTTTTATTCTCAAGTTTCCATACGTTTCGGCTCTAATAATTGAGCCATCCTCAGTGATACATTTTTGAAAGTAGCAAGGCCGAACTTCATTTATCTCTAATTCATGTATACTGTAATAAAATGCGCGCATATGCGCTTTACGGAATTCAGCCAAGGTAATCGAGGTGGGCGACATACAATTTGCTGTACCACGGTGAGGGAACAATTTAAACATATCCCTACACAAATATCCAATTTAAACAAATCCCTGACACAAATCATGTATAAATTTCAGTTTTCTTTGTCTTTTTTGATTGGGTGTTGCTGCATTTACTACAAAGGAGCCGTACATATTACGTATTTGAGTCTCAAAAAAATTTGTACAGAAATTAAAATAAAATATAGAACGTTAAGACTAAAACGCACAAGTCAAAAGACAGTCAAGTAATGATAAAAATGGTAAATATAATAAATTAAAATAATTTAAAATAAATATAAATTTTTTAAATATAAATTAAAATAATTAAAATAAACAAAATAATTACAGGTCAAAAAATAATTATAGTTTGTTGAGAACAGAAATGTACGCATGATGTAAGAATTCTGTGTTTGTTTGTAAATTTATTGCATTATTTTCATGTAACTTAATGAACAACATCTCCGAGATCTCTTAATCTTTTTTCATAATCTCGTTCACAATCCAAAATTTTAACTCTGTTCCAAGAAAAATCGTAATTATATTCTAATTTATGATCTGTAATCACCGATTTGATGTCTGTATTCCTATGAATGTGATTACAATGTTCACTTATTCTTATCTTTACTTGTCTTTTGGTCTGTCCGACATAACATTTATTACAATTATTGCAATCAATTTTGTATACAACATTTTTTCGTGAATCTAATGTTTTATCTTTATGTACCCGTATAAACTTATTCAATTTATTGATACTGAAGTAGGCTAATTTGATATCTAAATCACTAATTATCATCTTGAATTTATCCATTGTTAACGGGTTAAAAGATATTGTAAACTATTTAGTTTTTTTTGTCATTGTCAACCCCATTATTTTCATCTATAGAACCATATCCTTGTATTCCGCTTATAAAATTGAAATTTAAGTCTGCGAGAAATGCAATCGAGAATAAAGTTAAGGGGATAATCATTGTTCAGGAGAATAGACATATTACTTCAAGGTTTCTTTTTCTGATATTTTGGATGTAACAAAGAAATAATTCTGTCCACCAAGCTATATACAATCTCCCTTTTTTTAGATAGAGGATGTTTGAAAAATAATTTAGAAATTTTTCTGAAAAGGTTGGTTTATGACACCAATCAAAGTCAATGATGCCACTATCGACTTTCATGGTAACTTCTAAGAAGTTCTCTCGTCTATCCACCTCAACTGTAAATTGTAGTCTAGTGAGTGGAAAGTGTCTATATAGAGTGAAAAGAGTTGAAGATCTCGAGTTTCTCGTTAACCCTGTTGGATGGAATCGCTAGTGCAACATCATCTACGTATCGATAATAAAATGATAAGTTTATGTTCATTTTCTCAATCGCTCTTTCCTCTAGATCTTATCACTAAATCCGCTATTTTATATTATATTAATATTAGAGATAGGATAATGGAGATAACGAAGAGCCCATCGGCAAGCCAAAGGTTTGCTTATAGATTTGTTTATCGAACATGAAATAAGTGGAATGCAACACAAAAAAGATGACTTTCATAAATTCTTTTTTTGGGATGTTATAATACAACATTATGCGCTATATCATCCCACCATTTAGAAATACTGTCCAGAGGAATATTCGTAAACAATAATATCACGTCAAGTGAAATCAATAAGTAATTTTCTTTTATATGACAACCCGACAGGTATTTAACTAACTTGAAAATAAAAATAAGTAATTTCAATCTGCGCACTTTACCACGTTTACCGCGCCATTCCCAGAGCTCTATTTCTTTTACTTTAATTATTAAGTTGTTTAAACTATATATAACTTACACTTACACATTTCTACAAATATATCATAATTATTTTCATAGTTCAGTACGTCAATTTCGTCTAATGAAATGCTTCATTATTTATGAACTCTTCTATATATTGTTCCACCGGTCTTAGTATTAGTAAAAATTTGCCACACACACAACAGTGTTATTTTAGTTCCTTAATGTCCTCAGTAACTTTATATAACATATGTCACTCTCTCACTTCGTCAACGAAATAATGAATTTCCGATTTAGTTCCAAGTAACAGAGACGTCGAAAAGGTTATTCTTTTTCCCGATAAATCACTTCTTGTTAAATTGTTGTTATGTACAATGTCGACTTTTGCATCTTATATGGTTCCGAGTGTTCTTCTAGAATAACTCTATCCAGTTAAAGTTGTTCTTCCGCCCGAAGTTTCATTCTTAAATAATTTTTAAAATTTTTAACTTAATATTCTTAATTAACTCTATTATTCTATTTTCAAGTTTTTCGAATTTTCCTTGATTTATTTGTTCTTGAAAATTTATAATTTCGTTATATTACTATGATATATATAACTTTGATTTTTTTCGTTGCGATCCTTTCTCTAAGTCTTCATCCTTGCACGACTGAACGTCTATTGATCATCTAGTCGGCCTAACTATGAAAATTTGTAGAATGTAACTTAATCTCATCTAAATATTGATATTTCGTTTATATTTCAGTCGATCAATATAAGATTCGTCTTAAATGTGCTTCTTTATTTCTTTTTGTTGTTATAATCGCGGACGACGAGTTTGACTAGTCGATCGAACGTCACATCGAAAAAAAAATGTAGGATCGTTGAAATATTAAGTAATCGTTGAAGTAAAAAGGTGGTGAAAGGAATAAAAAACACATTTCATATTATACATATTTATTTATGGTCTATTAATTAAACTACTAATTAACCAATTTGAATACATTTCGTAACGCGCAATCAGTATAGTGATATCGCATAGTATTATTAGCGATCTAGATTGTTCAAAGAATCTATGTCTTCGTCCGCATCCTGGATCTCGATGTACACGCGCTCCTGCTCATTGTCCAGAAATAAGTTCCGCAGCCATTTTCGTTTTTCGTGTTTTTTCCTTTGACGTGTACGACAGCACTGTCGTCATGTTTTTTCGTATCATGCACCGTTTCATAATCAAACACTTAGCTTTGCTGTGCGGAACTGTTTCGTCGTTCCATCACAGTCTATGATGATAACGTATCGCTCAGCGGGCGCGAGACCTCTCGGTCTTACGAAGAAGTGTCACGGTATAGGGCTTGCAAAAATGTAATGAAAGAGAACAAATCTCTTCTCAATAATGAATCCTTGCAGGTCTACAAATGTTGATACAGACATGACTGTTGTCGCGAAGAAGGCTGCGGTCGATTTCGATGTATCGTAGATTTTGTTTCAAATAGTATTGGAGATACTCTTAGATGATCTTGCGTACAACATTGGTCAACGGATTGTACTGAACGCGATCGTGTATGAGACAGTACGCGGTGGTTCATCGGTACGTCTCTTAGTCTCAAATTCCAATTTCACATCCATGATTGTGCTCTTGACCTATTCGTTTTATCGAGAGCAATCGACGATTACGAATGGGCTGTTATATAGAAAAGTCATGACGGTGAGACTCGGCTCGATTCGTATCCGTAGTAATCATTACAGAAAACGCGCGTACGTGTCATACAGCACAGACTATCCGCTTTTGTCGAAATCCAGATTCATATCGTCGTGTGGATAACATTCTGAGTTCAGATAGAGTTTTACGTTGATCAAGTTGCAATCGTCAAATCGACTCGGCTATGACGTTCTTTCGGCCTGTTTGCAGAGCAAAAACAATATATCGCAGCTTTTCGAGCTGAGAAGCGATCTTAATGGCTCACGAATGCTTAATTGTACGGTGTAACAATAGAAATTCGTACAGATCCTACAAACGAAAAGCCATGCTCAGATATCATCCAACTCTCCAAAGTGTGCAGCATCGATAGCTTTTTTATCTTGCTCAATAATACGTGTGGCATTCGCCATTATATCTTGAATAAGTCGATCACGGGATCTAAAGCCAAATTTCCCATCAGGCAATTGTTACACGATCTTATCAAGATCAACTCGTGATCGAGCGTTAATCACTACGCGTCTGTAACCCTCGCAGAATCCCAACAGTGCGTAGAGAGGTACGCAAAAGTTAAAATATCCATCCGCGTTAGTACGCGCATCCCAGCCAGCATTCCTCAGAATCACGCTTCTCTCGGATGATGTCGTTACGTAGTGTTTGAGCGCGCTAGTTATGCCCACGTTTCTGTTACGATCAATCTCCACGCCATCGAACTCGTATCGAA